TACTACCACCACAGCCACCTCCATGTTTCTTCACAACTTTTGCCTTGTTTTTTGATTTTATACCTGGTGCCGTTGATTTTTGTCGGTAGCACGCAACACGCACAGATTCGTACATCATACAAAGAACTTTCGCAGATATATTTTTTTACACCGAAGCAGCCGCGCAATCAGAAGCCTAAATGCCAGGGCACCGCGGCTGCTATGAGGATGCCAAAAAAAATTTTGTTAATCCGATTTTTGAACTACCCTCCTCTGGACAGCATCGAGCATGGATAATGTAGTCGAGGCGGCAGCTCTCCGAACGTGTGATCAATACTCGAGGCTAGGTCTTATCTGGGCCTTGTATAGAGTGAGGAGGTATTGTGAAGAAAAGTACTTCTTAGCCCTAAACAAGTGCTTTTCTACAACCTTGGTTGAGGCCTTTAATATCCCGATTACCTGTGTGTGAGGTCAGTAATGACCCCAAACGAAGTACGTATAGATTTTTTTTACTGCAAAAACTACATTAGATATTTTCATTGAGTTTCCTACTTATTTTACAAATACCCAGAAACATCTAGTTGGTTGTTATCAAACTGGCAGAAAGCAGCCTGGAATTGATTCGTTCTTAAGGGGAGTAAGGTTACAAACTGTGGTGCTTATATTTTGCTTCTGCTTACATTACAGCTGTTTTCCATTAACTCGACCATTAAGGATCCATAACAGTAATTTCTCACTCAATTTCAAATATTTCGCGATATAAAACTTCGTTTTCACAATGAAGTTATGATAATCATGAAATCGCAATGATTATAAGTATATCTAGGCGTTTTTTCACGATAACTTACCCAGGGAGGGAACAGCTATCTCATTAAAAAAATGGCATCAAGTTTATTGATACGTCCTACGCCTTTATTGGAGGTTTCATAGAAAAGGGATGAGTCAAATCATTTCAAGGGGTAGCAATCGTGATTAGGTAAGTTCACTTAGATGCGTTGAATTTTTGAACTCTGCATATTAAATTATATAAAGCAAATCTATCATATTTCTGTTTTCTTGGCAGATATAATATGTGACTTATTATGTCTAACGGGTGCATAGTGTCACTGGCACCAAATACGCAACAACTTGCAATCATTACCTCATACTTCCAACCTATAACTTTCATCACCCCAAACAATGTCTGAAAATGAGCAGGAATCTCTTAAACGTTGTAACACTATGTTCCAGGGATTTCATTTTTTTGTCCGTACTTCCGCCACCACTGAATCAATTTTCAAAATCTACGACTACCTAAACGATGGAAGTATTAAGCTTGCGAAATATTCGAACTTTAGTTCACAAGTTTTCTGTTAAGTACTCGTATAAGTATACAGGGTGGCGCATCGTAAACGAAACAGACGCATTTACTGGCAGCTCAGTTTTTTTTTGGAAAAACGCTCAGACCCGTCGATTTTGTTTTCGAGGGGAACACAAGTTTGGCAAAAAATCACGTTAACACGTGCAGCCCCCTGGGCGGGGGTGACACCAACCCTAAAATCTTAAATGGAAAGGGGGGGCTCGAGTGATACCTTATTTTAAAGGTCTTTCATTTCCCTTTATAATGATGTAAAATACATGCGCTTCAGTTCAGTAGTTTTGAACATTTATTGATTTAAAGCTTAAAGTAGACTTTAATAGGTACATCAGATTAGTTTGTACTACTTTCAGAAGAAATTTGACTAAAAGAATTTAATTTACTTAATAAGTAAATGCTTTTCTTCACTACGCCCATGGTTTGTTTATCAGTTTGTTGTTGAAAATAGCTATTGGAGCGTTTTTTGTGGCAAAAAGTTATTTCTTGAAGAAATATAAGGAAATATCTCGTACTTATTTTAAATAGAAATTTAGTACATACTTTGCGATTTATTTGACCAAACTTTGTTGCTAAAATAACTTGTAACGCTTTATTACATAAATTAACCATGATATATTCCACAGCAGAAAGAGTTGAAATTATCGAAATATTTTTAGGAAATAATCAGTGCCCTAATAGAACAGCAGAAATATTTAATGAGCGACATGAGAACAGTAACGTGCATCGAAAATATGTTCTAGAACTCGTAGCTAAATTTCGGGAAACTGGGTCAGTCGCCAATAAACAACGCAACATTGAAAATCCCATAAGGTACCAAGCAATAGAAGTGGGGGTTTTAGGGCAAGTATATGTAGATCCTACGTACTCGCAAATTGGAGACTATGTGTGGTGTTAGTCGACGTACTGTCCAACGGATTCTAAAGGCCCATAGTTTTCATCCATATAAAGTTCACCTGGTACAAGAACTTAATGAAGACGATTTTGATCGGCGATTATTAATTTTGTGAAGATATGAGTGAACGAATTATAAGCGATAAACATTTTCTATTCAACACTTGCTTTTCCGACGAATGTTCCTTTTTCTTAAATGGCGTAGTAAATCGTCATAACTACCGATATTGGTCCGATTCTAATCCCAGAATTTATAATGGGCTGGTATTTTTGGCGATCATTTAGTTGGTCCTTTTTTCTTATCTGGAAATTTGACCCGTGAAATGTATTTGGAATTACTGGAAGACGCCATAGATGCTGCATTAACAGCCATAATTGAAAATCAGAATGATCGGCGGTACATTGCGAATAGGTTGATGTTGCAACAGGATGGTGCCCCACCACATTACGTATTACGTGTTCGACAATATTTAGATCAGACGTTTCCAGATCGATGGATTGGTAGAAGAGGTGCCATTGAATGGCCCCCAAGATCGCCATATTTATCACCTTTGGATTTCTTTATGTGGGGTCATTTAAAAAGCAAAATCTATGCTACTCAGCCAACATCATTAGAAGACCTGCGACAAAGAATTGTGAATGAGTGCCTTCAAATTACTCCTCAAATATTGCAAAATGTGCGGCAACGTTTTGAGCAAAATCTTTATTGGAGAGTCATGGTGGCCATTTTCAACATTTACTTACCTAACGGGTCAGTTCATTCTTCATTTTTAAATTACTTTGCTGTCAAATGTATTGATCTCCACTAATGATGATGTATTAGTTTTATTTAAGCTTTAAATCAATAAATCTTCAAAATTACTGAACTGAAATACATTAATTTTATATCATTATAAAAGGAACTGAAAGACCTTTAAAATAAGGTATTACTCGACCCCCCTTTCCATTTAAGATTTTGGGGGTGGTGTCACCCCCGCTTAGGGGGCTGCACGTGTTAACCTGATTTTTTGCCAAACTGTGTCCCCCTCGAAAACAAAATTGACGGGTCTGAGCGTTTTTCAAAAAAAAACTGAGCTGCCAGTAAATGCGTCTGTTTCGTTTTCGATGCGCCACCCTGTATAAGTACTGAGCCAATCTGCTAGACGAAATATTCAGAGAACCATCATAGACGGAGTAACATAAAATTCAGAAAAAATATATGTGTAAGTATAAAAACAGTTATGTTACAAAAGCATCGCAGAATGCTAAAGTGGTACGTGCTCCTAATTTCCAAATATTACTAAAATATATTTCTCCTGTAGCGATGTGTCAGTGACGATTATTTAGTTTTCCCGTTGTTACCGGGATCAGAAGCTTCTTAATGATAGAACGTTTTTGACTAATACTAAAGACGTTACATTCACAACCCTTACCCCATACAACCATTACCCCATACAACCATTACCCCATACAACCCTCAACCCCCCAATTTTCAGCCCCTACAAACAAATTTCCGAAAATGATCAGGAACCTCTAACGTCAAAAAACGAAGTTTCAGCGTTTTTATTTTTATCGTGTTTTTGCGCCTAGTTCCGCCACCACTAGAACGATTTTCAAAAATTACTAAGCTTTTTATCCTTGGCATAGTAGTAACCTCATGTGAAAATTTCATCAAAATCCGAGCGGTACTTCTCAAGTTATAGGCGGTTAGAAAATCCAGTGACTAATATAACTAACAACCTTAATAAATGGAACTTCCTGTATTATTAAAAAGATAAAAAATGATTTAGTAGCTGCAAAAATAAAACGAGCTTTATAAAGTAAAATCATCAACCATAAACATACATGTCAGTCCAATTTGTTGTAACCGAAGCATAGTAAAACTGTATAACGGCAACGTATAAAATAAAATGTCGGCGCAATACACTTGACGGTGGAATTTCGCTTTTTCCCATACCATTCCTTCCTTCTTTTTTTCACCGGCTCGAAAAAATGTCACTAAATTTTACGTGTCAGGAGGTCTTAACATACCGCATCTGTTTCTTTTTTGGGCCACAGCACTGACTCGCAAGATACCTGGATATTGAGAAGAATGGACAAAGGCTCCCATGCCTTCACTCCGAGTATATTACTATACAGGGTGACCATACATTTATAATATGATCGAAAGATGTAGACAGTCAGTAATTCCATTCCAGTATCACAAATTGGAGGCACTTGTGCCGGAACCTCTCAAAACGCCCAACAAATGTCCGCCCAGCACATTTACTTCGATATCAATAATAGTAATAATAAAACTTCTTTTTTGTCCTAAGCACTTGTATAATAGAGTAAGGGACACAATTGCGTTGACCATCAACAATGAGCTAGCTCATTCCTATTGTGGAACAAGTAAAAAATGTTGGTGACATCTTCGAATCTAGTGACATAGTGAAGATTTGACAAATATCGTTCTTTTATTTGTTATACGATGAACATTCTTTCCATTGTGTGTTTGTTTATATACTCGTATTTATACTACGGAAATTATCAAGCAACATCAAGACAATTTGAATTTTCAAGTACTTGACGTGATTTACATAGCTATTAGCTAATATCTGATACTTGAGCTTGATTTTAGTTACATATTTTTTCATATTTTTGTAATTGTTTGCACTCTTGATAGTTTTGATCATAATGCTAGCGTCCTACCCTACACTATTGCCATATCGTACATCCGGGGCGATAAAAGGTACCAAAAGTCTAATTTCCGTCCCTGTTACTTCCAATATGCTAGACGTCATTTTTTTGTTACAGTGCTAGTGAGTCGACTGATGACGCAGCGATATCTGGATGTAGGAGAAAACTGGACCAAGGATTCCCATAGTTCAAAGTATTCCACTTTGAGGTTCGAATACAGAGTGACCTGTGACTCTAACTACTACGGACAAGGCTGTGAAAACCTTTGCCGACCCAGGGATGACTCATTTGGGCATTATAGTTGCTCTCCGTCTGGAGAACGTGTCTGTCTAGCTGGATGGACTGGCGATTACTGCAGCAAACGTGAGTTGAAATATTCTTCTATATCTCTTATTTTGAACATGATAAGCTATTTCAGGTTCCCTTGTTTCAGCCCGAATTTGACTCTGTGTTCCTTCATTTTCACTTGTTCTTAGGGTCAAATGTATTGTCAGGTTGTGTTTGTGTTTTCAAACTTGAGACCTCCTTATTCCCCCTGGTTATCAATTATTAACTTGACCCGCAATTTGCATCTTATTCACATATGAACCAAACAGAAGTTACACCAAGAGAAAACAAGACGAAAATGGTGTCGTCTAACTACGTTTTTGGGTAAATTCATTGACCATCACTTATATATTAAGCGTTTTTTGTTCAACTTTACCTTTGGGTAGTCATCTATTTATCATCAATGTGCAGTCTACGAAATATATTTTTGATCCAATGTGCACGGTACAAAATATGTATGCAATCACAAATGATATCCGACAATATTCTATGTTAACTAATAGATTATCAGAAGCTGAATCAATTAATTATTAGATCTAACGTTCATATTTTAGAAAATGCTATCAACTTTTATAGGTCTTTTCCCGGTTTTGGTTGAGGAATTTCTTACATCCATGTTCATCACACATATATGTGCAATAGGCCTCTATGCTCTAAGTTTTGTTTCGAACTAGATTGCCTTATTCAATGGAAAAGATGTTTGACCACTCTCCTGTCATTTGTCACGTATCATGGCCAATAAGACGTCTTCACAAGGTGAAGAAATGACTACGCATTCCGTTTTTAAGGTTTGTTTTCTTGAAAATACCGTTGAGGGACAGGGGGGTTGTTTAATTGAAAAAATGAAAGTCATGGGATGATGAAATGGAACTGCACACATTGGGGTTTAGCGAAACAAGGTTTGTATAATTTCGATTTCATATAAAACAAGAAACCTGCTTCAATTAATTATATCACGAATAAGAAAAAAATATTGTCATTTGTACTTTCACTTTGTTAATTATATCCTTAATTATTCGAATTTATTCTTCACATCACAAACTTCTACGGATTATAAAGTTGGTAAAGAATTTCACAAGTATTCTAATGGTGAAGTGGCTGTCCAAAAAATACATTTGACATGTTACTGACACTGCGACTACACACTGTCAGCTACAGAAGCATCTCTATACTATGAGACTAGATTTTAGTTGACCGACAACTAAAAGCATAAATATCAAATTCATAGTTGAAGTCCTTTCCTGTAAGTCCCAGAACTTAGAGACCTGGATTTTTCGGGACTATTCCATAGTTTTGGATGGCTGATGATCCAGATTTATAAAACCCAGGGGTGGTTGTCGTCCAATGGGTCGTGAGTGTTTTCTCCAGTACAGAATCGGTTTGAAGGTTAGATATAGGTAGATAGTTGTGTAGATACCGAAATGAATTCATTGGAAAAAGAGCAAAAAGCAATGACCGCAAGAACGAGACGCAGACGTGAGTAGCTGAGTAACATTCAACTGGTGATGCCGCAGCCGAAGCAAAGTCCGCCGCTTTAACGCCCAACGCCGACGGTCGAGAGCCTTCCCACGGCTGTGGCAATAAGGCAGCATACCTGTCTCTGTACAGGGTGTTCGCCGTTCGTCGACCAGGCGCCCGTTTACGGTGCATCTACAGGGCGATGCTGGTTAAACCAGAGGCGAGGCAAAAACTTTGCATTCGTGTAGGATGCCGGTTAGCATGAATCAAGAGGATGCCGGCAGGTATTAAATTTTTTTTTTGATCGTTCTGAACAAAAAAGGTCCTTAGTAAAACTTGTCTCCGAAGTTGACCGATTTCGACTTACGAGCGTCTGAAACATTACAAAAAAACGCAAAAATCATTATTTTTGATGTTGCCAAGTTCAAACCTGCCCCCACAAGACCCGAAGAGTTTATTTTTATGTATTGTTGTTTATATTGATATTCTGGAACGCTTCAACCACTGTATATATAAATTTAGATCCCAACAACTTGAGGATAGGATGACTTCGAGGACTGTGCTATTTAACTTGAGCATGAAATCTAACACATTTCCTGCGATTTGGAAAATATCCAAAGTATCTCCTGCCTTCAAAAATGGTGAAAATTCAAACGTTGAGAACTAGCGAACAATTTCTCTCATATGAGTTTTTGCGAAGGTTTTTTGAAATAATTCTGTATAATCGCTTGTAGCCTTCAATAGAAAATTAAGTCTCACAGCGGCAGCATGTTTTTGTCAATAGTCGATCCACTGTTATGAACTTTCTTATTTTAACTCGGTACATCTGAAACATTGTATGATAACTGTCAGGTCGATGTCATTTATACAGATTTCGACAAAATTGATCATGGAGGTTTGTTAAAAATACCAGGGCACTTTAGAGTTAAAATTCTTTAGATCCTATTTATCTGGGCGAAAGCAATACGTAGCATATAATGAGTTCAAGTCAGAAGGTTATTTAACTCCATCGGGTATTCCCCTTGGGGCCACTTTTATTTCTATTATTTATAAATAATCTCAGTGAAAAATTGAAATGTGTGCAATTGAGTTTTGCTGACGACATGAAAATATATTCGTCTATAAGGGATGTTCATTATTGTTTAGATTTACAGATAGAGTTGAATAGTATCCGGACTTGATGCGATGTCAACAATTTACATCTAAATACCAACAAGTGCAATAAACGAGTACGAAAAGGCGCTTCATACTTTCAACAATAATATTAATGGTGCGTTGTTGGATAGATGTGATACATTCAGAGATTTGGGTGCTCTTTGTGACTAAATATTAACATTTGTTCCCCATATTTCTCAAAAAGTTTCAAAAGCGCTTAAGCAATTTCACGACATAAGGGATATTTTGCGTATGTGCTTAGCAAACTTGAATATGCTAGTATTATTTGGAGCCAGTATTACAAAATTTATATAAACGAAATTGAAAAGGTTCAAAGACGGTTTCTCAAATTTATTTATATAAAGTTTATCCTGGATTAGCAATGCAGAGCTGTGTGGGCATTTTGAAATTCAGAGCTTAGTGTTCAGAAGAAAAAAATCTGCCATATTTCTTTTCAAACTAGTACGTGGTATGATCGACTCCCCAAATTGTCCTGTAAATGATATTATTATTTAATTGTTAATAACGCCAAAAAAACTGCCCATAAAATATGAGTTCATAAGTTCTTATAGAAGCAGGCAGCAGCGGTGGCCGCAGTAGTAGACTCTTCGGTCTCCTGATCAGTCGCCGTGCGCTGTGCGGGTTCGAGTCCCGTTCCAGGAGAAATTTTTCTCTTGGCTATGGATGTTGTGATTGTCCGTAGGTGGTAGATGGCCTCTGACTGTCGAACGTGGAGGTACCACCCGGCGGATCTCGTAGGCGGAGCCAGAATGTCTGCATGTTGCATGCACACGTGTTTCCTCGCCAGAGTCCGTATGGCGTCCCCCCTTTCCCCTGTAACCCCCTATAGCCCCACGGTACCCAATGGGTGTTTAGGCCTTAGGCCTTCATGGTAGTTGGAATATAAAAAAAAAATTAAAAAAAACATTTATTATTAGAATACCTTAAGAAGTAGTATGATTTCAAGCTGCATACTTTTAAGTATATCAATACATAAACAAAAATTTTCATGAGCTGACGCTGCTCTAATAAACGATTACTGAATTCTAGAAAAATGTACTGACTACTCGCCCTGAAGCAAAATTCAAACATATTACATTAAACAAATGTTAAATTTCAGGCAATTTTTCGCACATTGAAACGACACATATTTTACTGGTACTCATAATGAAGCATTTATCTCTTTGTTTTGGCATTTTTTTCAAAATATACATGTACTGCTTATTTTTACTTCAAGCTTGCTGAGTGAGTAGAAAATGAAAAATTCGTCGCTTGAATAAACGTTTTGCCTTTGTCGGTGTGCTCTTTTAGCACAGTGCATGTCCGCGATAGGACAGACAGCTTCTGGACCCAGGATTTTGGTTTCAAAGAGTAAAATGTTTGAACAGCGTACACGGTAGTTTCATGCTTTTTAGCAGTCATCAGTACGATGTAAGTCAGCATCATCACATTTCTTAGATCCGTCTGAAAAAAGTTAATAGCACCTTTCAGGGTTTTTTTTGCTGAAAATAGATGCAGTTCAATACGTAGAGTCTATCTACCTCATTCCATTCGCTATCTTGCAGACGATTAGCAGATCTATGGTTTTATATCCACGTTGACCTTTACGGATGCTAAGTGACTGGTATAGCATAACAATGAAATTAATGAAAGACACTAATTAAAACAAAAGGAATGCCATAAAAACCGGTCGATAGTGTTGAAGGTATTACCACCAATCAGTTATCGGGATATTATTCCACTATGGTCGAATGGTTAACCTTATGTATACCAGGGGTGTTAACACTATTCAATACCACGATCTATCTCTCTATCTCTACGTCTGTCTGTTAATAAGGAAGAGTAGTAGACTAAAAATTATTTAAAAATGAATGGATACTCTGTGGGAAAATGTTTTTTCAGCTAAATCCGAGAACAATGTGAGAATTATTTAATGGGTAGTTTAGACTGTTGATAATATTTTTATTAAACGGAAATACTCATTAATTAAAAGAGAACCTCTACTTTTACTAGCTATTTAGAATTTAGAATGGAATTTTATCCTATAATGAATATCATTATCTATGTTGTTGAAGCATATACACTTTTTTATTAATTGAGGAATAATAGAGTCAAGTAAGTCGACTCAAATAATGCACTATTCTGAAAAAGCACATCCACAAAAAAACAATGTGAAGTCATACTTCCTGTTACTTATTCGCATGATAAGTTCCTATCCTAGTGATAAAGAAAGAAGTGGTTCTGCTTGTCTGCCTCAGGATCAGGGTTATTTTTCGTACGTGTGTGTGAATGTACTATATGTACGAGGTCTGTAAGTTAAGTGATGAGACTGATTTTTTTTTATTTTTTGTATTCAAATATAGTTACAATCTCATATTGTCACCCTTAAAATAACTTCCCTCTGAAGCCACACAGCGCTGGAGATGGTTCTCCCACTCCTCATACCAATGCTGGAACTCCGATACTGGAATAGTCTTCAGCTGGTCGGTTACAGCTCTTTGAATGTTTTCGACTGTCCCAAAATGAGTTCACTTGAGGTTAGGAAGATAGAAAAGTCACAAGGACTCAAGTCAGGCGAATAAGGAGGCTGAGAAGCTACAAAGAATGTTTTTACTGGCCAAAAACTCGTTTACTGATATTGCTGTGTGACAAGGAACATTATCGCGATGCAACACCCAGTTGTTCTTGACGAATGGTAAACCGCCGAAAAACCTGGGTTCTTGACAAAGCACTATCCCCGTAGGCCCGCTGAAGTTTAGAAAGAGTTTCCGTTGCACAGTACCTAAATCTGAAACAGAACCTGATAGCACACGGCTTCTCGAAATTGATATCACTCATTTTTGGAAAAAAAACAGACAAAAAAAATCGCAACGAACAACCATATGACTCGAGCGAGTTTAAACTTGTACTGACGGCTGAAGGCGGAGCACATGTTCCCTGTCTCACGTCCAAGCCAGGCGCCTCCAGTGTTACCAGATTGAACGCTATGTTGCCAATTTCATCACTTAATTCTATTTCATAGGCTAAAGTCCAAACGGCTTGATGGATTTTGATATGAGGTGTCGTTAGATTCGTCTAGATATCACAATAAAAACTACATTCTTTTCAGTTACTGCAGTTGGGCTTTTCAATGCACTTACCTGTATTTAATTACTGCTGCTATGCGCGGGAAATACCGATCATTTAATGAAAGTACACGTGTTTTTTAAACAGCTTAATTAGACCTTTAATAATTTTACATACTTATATAAGATGATGTTTAAAAGGATCTTCCTAATCGATGTTTACCAGTTTTGTAAGAGAAAAAAATGGAAAGGCAACAACAGCACCTGTCAATATGTTTGCCATGTGCCGTTATTCAATATTATCAAGTACCAATACGCATACACGGCGAAGAAAAAGCAAAAACATTCAAATGTTAGTATAGTTAATATGACTTGATGCTGAGGAATTCTTTATCGGATAAACAGCCAGACATTATTATTATTATTATTATATCCCAAAAGTTTTTAAAGACTCGATGGGTATGATTGTTTAGCATATTTTTAAAGAGCAGAATGCAGAGAGGCTTGGACCAGAATTTTGAATTCAGTGGCTATTTTTGTCAGTCGATCAGCTGTGATGTTACCACTGGATTGTGGGTTTTTTACCTATAGTACTTATGTTGGCAGTTTCATTTGCAGCTGGGGCTATGCTAGCTAATTGATATTATACTATAATAGTATCTTACATACCTGAGGCTATGATATATTCCCACCTTTAATGTGATTATAGTTTAAAATATAGCATATGTGATAAATTCATTAACGTTTGACAACACTGTAAGATAAAACTTATGCAATTTCTGCACCACAGAACAGAGAGGAACGCTGCCACTATATGATAAATAGATAGAAGATGCTACGTACGTCGGCGTTTCCCACTCCAATGTATCAAATAGCAACCGTCAATCTGTCAAAATGATGGAATAAATTACCACAATCATAATAATTTTGATTAAAAATAATCTTAGTATATAAAATATTCAAAAATAGATAAGGGGTTTAATAGCAGTGACCATTCTGAGCTCAACAAATCAAAGAGCGCTACGTGAAAAACTAGGTTCTGTTTGCTATGAATAGAAATGCATATCAGTTTTCGTGAGCTAGTTACCAAGGGGCATTTGTCGAATTCGTTTAATTAAAAATTGCATAATTATTTATGAATCTTCATACTTACATTGGATTGACAGTGAAATTGCATATTCATAGCTTGTTAACTTGGACGGCGAGCATAATGATATTCCTTATTGATGTACTGATTTAATACTACTTCATATGCATAATGTTCTACCATACTGGAGACAACACTTTTACATCGTATTTGGAGTTAATTATGTTGAGCGAAAAATAGAAGCTCACATTATGGTAAACAGTTGTTTATGACGAAAAACGACCAGTACAGTTAGTGCTGCAATTAAGAGATATCAAAGTGACGTCAAGCATTTTCACTTGTTACTTCCCACGCACTTTCATATGGCCAAGATCACAACACTTTCAAAATTTGCACAATTGCACGATTTTCTCACATTTTCAAAATTTGCTTATTTAGAAACTCACAAAATTCATAAAATATTCACTGTCAGATTTTACAAAATTGTCAAAATCGAAATTTTCAAAATGAAATTTTTGGGGTTTTGGAAAGTTCAAATTTCCAGAAGTTTACATTTTTTGAAAAAACATATTCCGCCAACTGTTAAAGCTTACTGTGAACTGCTCAAGGAACATCTAAAAATATGACCCTTAAGTGTCATATTGCCTTCTTGGCTGACAATTTTCAGTCGTAATGTCTACTAACTTTAGTCATGGTTTCTAGCCTTTATGTCATTATTTGTATTTAAAATAATTGATTTGGATTACTAAATACTTAATGGTGAAAATTAATCTACTTAATATAAATACGTGTATTAACTTTAATTGAGGATTGCACATGATTTAATGTCTGAATAAAAAAAATAAAATTGTAGGATTTATTAGAAAATATTATGTTTTTTTTTTTGTTTTAGCTCAATGTCTACCAGGCTGTGACGAAAAACATGGACATTGTACAAAGCCCAACGAGTGCAAGTAAGTAATTTATAATATCAAAAATGGAAAATAGTTATTTTTATGCACTTTCATTATTCTACTTGAAGCCTTTTTATTGTGACAACGTCTCAATTGCCTTGATAAATGAGAGTGACAGGAGAGCTGTCTCAACGAAGAAGGTGCATCAGTCTCAGATCAAAGACAACTATTTTGTCATTCCCAAGTGAAAAGGCTAATAAGGCATTCTTAAGGAACGAAATGACTGAATCTTTGCTTGATTCCAATGGTACTTGGTTAAAGCACGAAAGGTAAAATATGAATATCGAAACATACTCTTCGTAGTTCCATCAAGGTTACAAAGCTACAGTTATTACAATTGGCATTGTTGTATTACCGAGATGAACCAGGAAATTTCATTAGAATGTAATAATATCTGCCTACTTTCTAAATAATTGTTACACGGCTTACTTTCTTACGTTTGTTCTAAAACCGTGTAAAATAATACTCCAAATTATCGTAATTCGTTGTGTAAGTCGTACTTTTATACACATTCTCACATGTAATCGGTCTTGCTAGTATTCTTCTAATATAGCAGCCCAAGATACGAGGTACCAAACTGAACATTCTAAAAGAAAACTATAAATTACCAATTTTAGAAACCCCAATATATAATGCAGTTTTTCCAGGTGTATTGAATTTTCATCAAACGTTTTCAAAAGCATATACATAGACGAACTAGGTACTACCATGAAACCAGAAGCTCCTTTTTCCGAAGTCATTTAAAAATTTACCTTGCTTTGCTTAGTCATCACAGTGTCTGAGAAACACATCTCTTTCAAAAACTGGTTATGAATAGGTACGACTAATGTGTATCCTTACGGCTATTTATGAAATACAATCAGTCATTGCCGTTTGCAGCATTTTTTCACCTGTAATCTTTGAATCAAGTAGACGATGCGGTACCACTAAGCATTGCTTAGTACAGTCAACTATGGTTTACAAAATCACTTGACATGTTCCAAATTCGTATGCGTAGATTGGATTAAGTCAACCTACTTGACTCTACTTTTTCAAAGCGAGTGGTACCCCGCGAAAGATGTAGATGCCGGCAGGTGGTACTGCTACCTGGCAGCTGCGTATCGGTACCAGATAAACAACGAATATGAAGGACATCGACAGAAAAAGAGGTATGGTATTAAAGAAAAATATCATCCAGTAGTACCTTAATCCGTCGAAAATGCATTTTACTGCCGGTGACACGGCAGTAATGCTTACTTAGTACTTCCTGTGGCCCGGCCAGCTGGACTATGCGTCGCTATTTTCTTTGCTTTATTTTTCATCACCTCTCTCCACATTATCCAACCATCTCTGTTTTAGTCTTCCAGATCATCTTCTTCCGATGAATGTATCGTCAAAAAGCCTTTTGACTGTGGAGTTATTGTGTTTCCGAGCTACATGCCAATCTCCGCGATCTTATACAGCTTTTGATCTTATGAAAATGCACTCCATACGCAGCATCGCAGCACCTACTGACACACTTCAAAGGAAAATATAATGTAGTATCTTAATATTTTGGTAAAGCATACAGCCCTTATGGTAGTACCTACACGTCTTGTCCTTATCATATGTCGCTTTGGTACTACTATTAAAAATACTCAACAGCATCGAAATCCTCCGTAAATGTGTTCACCAAGGCGGTTCGCACACACACTATGACGGGTGTGATCCCGTGTCGTCTTATTACTATCACAGTTGCCATTAAAATAATATCCAGTAGTTCCCTAATCATTCTGAAATGCGTGCACCATGTTTCATGGCAGTTCCCTTGCATCTCATCATATGTTGTCTTAGGTCTGTTAAACATACAGCCTTCCGTAAGGCCGTACCTACCAGCACACGGTTGATCGTCGTCCGAGAATTGCTAGAAAAGGGTTATTATCCAGTAGTATTCTAACATTCAAAGCCGCATACTGCCCACGGTATGGCAGTACCTACTTATGTGCTCGTGGTCATAATCCTAGGTTGTCTTAGGACTATTAAATAAGACGCCCTAATCCTTCGAAAATGCATACAGCCTGCGGCATACAGTACCTCCTGACACGCGTCTGATCGTCATTCTATGTCGTCTTGGTACCAGTCGTCTCCGAACGACCCGCAAAGTAACCTTTCCTTGACCCGCATACTTGCCAACGGGCAGCGTGGGAAAGAGCCCGGTGGGCGTGTTGCATCCCCTCTAAAGATGTCCTCACGCCGAAGGCACGGCTTGAGAGGAGAAAGAGGGGAGACACACTGGCGGGTATGGGTACTACCGCACCGGGCCGCGGTCGCCGTTCGCCGGTACACAAGTTGCAACTCAATGAGGTACATCAATACGATACGAATACACTCATGATTAGAATAGAAATGCGCACGCTGATATTCCTTCTCGTCTTCGTCGTACTGGTACTGCTGCTTGCCGCTCTAGTCTGGTACTGTCTTGGCATTAGTTGCCTGTTGCCGGCATTCCGGAGCGACTCTTTCAATGAATCTGAAAGCTCTTTCCATGATATGCGTCTCGCATTAAAGAAAAATAATTCTGATACTATGCGCGGCGGTAGTCTGGCACTATCTGGGAATTAGTCCCGAGACGACATACTGGAGCAACAGTCTGTTTCAATGAATCTAAAAGCTCTTTCCATGCTATGCGTCTGGCATTAAAACAGAATAATTCTGGTACTATGCACTTCGGTAGTACTATTCTTCTGGTCTGGTACTATCTGTAAATTAGTCCCGAGACGACACCGAGGCAAAAGTCGCTTTCTATGTATCTGAAAGCTATGTCCATCGCATTAAAACAGTAATTCTGGTACTATACGCGGCGGTAGTACTACTGTTCTAGTCTGGTACTATCTGGGAATTAGTCCCAAGACGACATACCGGAGCACCAGTCTCTTTCAATGTATCTGAAAGCTCTTTCCTTGCTATGCATCTCGCATTAAGGCAGAATAATTCTGGTACTATGCCGTTCTAGTCTGGTACTATCTGTAAAATAGTCCCGAGACGACATACCAGAACAAAAGTCTCTTTCAATGAATCTGAAAGCTCTTTTCATGCTGTGCTTCTCACTCTAAGGAGGAATAATATTATACAATGCTAGACAGTAGTACCTAAAGCAGCATAGTAGTACCCGAGATGGCATAGCGAGAGAGCAGGACTGATTATTTTAAAAGCTCTAAATTGTTTGATTGTGACTACATACTAATAAAATGTATATATTTTATATCATGTTCAACGACTAAAAGTATTGCTGTCATGGAGTATCTCTTTGTGCTAAAGTACTACTGGATTGTTCTTTCCTCTCGCTGTTATTCGTGCCTGTCGTTTATTTCTTCGACGGAAAGCAGCTGCTCGGTACTACTTACCACCTGCCGGCGTCTGCATCTTTCGTAGCGTACCACTGACTGCAAGAAATCTGACTAAAGTACCCTGCGCTTTTTCACCATACTTATTACTGTGCTATGTATATTTGTCCTAGTGCCACTCACCTATATTTGCTGTTATCAAAATTTATTATATGCCTTGATGGCATTTCGCACCCTCCTGTTTTGGGTACCACCTGCCATTATATACATTATACGTATATAATACAAGGTGGATCTACAAACAATGAGATACTTCTAGGGACAGCGGGTGCGACTGAAATTCTTCCATAGGGTCATGTTACAGAGATACTGAGCACTAATTTGCAAATGAGAAATCATGAGAACTGATTTTTTTCTCTGAATGTTAATTTTGTTTCTCTGGTACTTCGTGTGACGGTGTCTAGTAGTAGAAACTCTTTTACAGCTATCTATTCAGTTAGGGTCCCTAGGTTTAAAAGTTGCTTCAATAGAGCCAGGTAGTCTGCGCTATTGAAAAGATCCTATATTTTTTTAGGGATAGTCAGGTACTCGTAATTAAAGGGCGTGGGTGTATTTTTTCTAAAAGGGGTGGATCTAGAATCCGACCTGAAAAATGTGATTAATGAATTTCGGAGCTTCTAGTAACCTAAAAAAGTATAAGTTTCACTCCATTGAAACAATTTTGATGCTAGGTTTACAACAGTGTTTGCCTGCAATCGTGGGAACTAGATACTGAGTCAGTCTACTCGATGACTTTTTTCTTCTGTTATGCTATGTTAATGCTACGTGAGTCGAGTTAAAAATACACAAAACATTACCATATCCAAGCCAATTTCTCACGAAAGAAACACTCGGTATAGTGAAATGAAACATTCTTCCATGGGTAGACAGGACAGGATCGCGGTCAAAAAATACAAGAACTAGTATTGTGGGTCCAAAGCTCCTCTGCATCCAGCATATCATCTGTCATGGCACATATCAACTACAAAAGCATGCTGGATGATACGTCTAGCTGCTTGTCAGCTGGTCTATTGATGAAGTAGCAAAATGCTATCTATCTGTATCAGCTTTGAATGTTAATGGCATTGAGACTGGACTAGTGACACATTTTTACGAAGGGAACACTTAAGCAGTTGTCTTGCGACTGCCCAGCTATATCATAAATACGAAAATCCATTGTAGGGAAACGTTGGCCTTCTGTGGTTAGTGTATGGGTGAATCCACTGGGCCATCTCCTCACCTTTTTCAATAGTTTGGGGTGGTTGGTGTTCCAATACCGAGTGAATCTGAAACGTACAAGAAGATAGCTGTGGAAGTTCTAGAAATAACTGAATACGGTCCAGGCGAAAGCACATTACTATTCTACAAATGTCGCTTGTTTCTCATTGAACGTATATCAGAGAATTCATTGATTATGTCTCATTTTCCTCGTTATCTTCCGATGTTGTCCATTAACTGTTGTAAAAAGCAACTGTAGCAACTTTTAACACTTCCAAGCGCCATCCACTCTTTTACAGGGTCCGTGTGTCTGCCGGTAACTCGGAAAGTACCGCTCGGATTTTGATGAGATTTTGATATAAGATTACCAATATTTCTAGGACGGGGAAGCTTTATGAGTTTCGAAAATTAATCTTCTGGCAGTAGAGCTACTGGTAAAAATCGAAAAAACCTAAAACCTCATTTTTCGAAGTTTCAGAGACTCCTGCTCAGAGATCGGGCACCACAGCACTTAACTGAGCGATCTTATCAAATTTAAAAATATCTATTGGATGTTAAAGCCTATTTGCTTTCATTTTTGCTTTAACAGCTGTGGAAACCTGTCATAGCTATCAAACTTGAAACGTAAGATTCGCAGGGAGTATTTTGGTAAAATATGGTGCTACTAATGTGTGGGTGGATCACGCTTTTAGATTTTTTTTTTTTAGCTAAAATACCGTATTTTTACCGCCATCACTATCATACATCGTTGAAAGGGACTAGCATGCGGTGTTGCCGGATTGAGCTCCTAATTTGGGAAAAGTATGACAACCCGAAAATAAACAACTGTAACAAAATAAAAAGCAACTTAATAATTATAAAACAAAAAATAACAGTAGGAAACTAAAAAACTATTTTGAATAATTATAAAAAATAACAAACAGTAGTGAAATAAAAAATAATTCTAAATGATTATAATAAACAAAAAATAACAAACAGTAGTAAAATAAAAAGCAATTCTAAACCATTGTAAAAAAGTAAGAGACAGTAGTTAAAAAACAATTCTGAATGATTATAAAAAATAACAAAGTAGTAGTAGAACAAAAAATAATTTCAAGTTACATATTACGAAAAACAAAAAATCACAAAAATCATATCACAAGATAAATAACATGAACATTTTTTTGTATTAACTAGTGATATTTTCAAGATTTGTTTTATAATTATTGAGAGTCGCTTTCAGTCCTGCGTTGCTTGTTTTTCGTTTCTTTTTCGTTGTTTTGTCTCTTTAACAAATATGTTTATATCAATTTTCGAGTTTTCATATTTTTCCCCAAATGCGACTCCCAATTCGCACAAGGTCTCATATGCCCCGAAGTAGTGATGGTAGTGAAAATACATCCTGAAAATACAGTATCTTGGGGACAATGCTTCATCCGCATATTTTTTGGTTTGAAATGATTTATTAGACTACTCTCTCTATAAGTTTCAAGTTAAAAAACAGTCTACAAAACGCAACAGTATCAACTTGGTTTTTAAAATTGCGTTTAATCGAATGTAGTATTCACAGCCCTGAGTTGTCTACTAGGTTATCTATCTGTTGCAAGAAACTTCAGTTACATGATACTGGTGTCTTCAGTGTCACATTTTCCTTCAGTGGCTCTGAAGATATTAAGCTGAATACTGTATGAACGTGGTGAAAATCCAAAAAATATTTTCATGTGGAAATATTTCGACAGAATATCCAATTGAAAGACTCACATTGTTGCTAGTGCAATTTGCATCTTATGCAAAAAGAACAGAAAAGAGGTGACATTAATGCAACTATTGAAAATATACATTCATTTATTTTTTACGTATGGATGAAATTGCTGTATAGAAAATTGTATCAGAGACCTTAACAAGGACATGGAAAGTATTGTTATTTTCTTTTGTTGCAGATGCCAATCTGGATGGGAAGGACCTCTCTGCAACCAATGTCAGCGCTACCCGGGCTGCATGCATGGCACCTGCGTGGAACCCTGGGGTTGCCTTTGCAAAGAAGGCTGGGGAGGTCTATTTTGTAACCAAGACCTGAATTTCTGCACCAATCACAAACCGTGCAGAAACGGGGGAACTTGCTTCAACACCGGCCAAGGCAGCTACACTTGCAGTTGTGCTCCAGGCTTCAATGGTACTGACTGTGAAGCACCTACAGACAACTGCCTGACCACTCCTTGTCTAAATGGAGGTACTTGCTCTTCGGATGGCCCCTACAATGTATGCGTATGCCCATTTGGCTTCTCAGGAGCCAGGTGCGAAGTAGCTTACAAAACCTGTGCAAACTCGCCTTGTAACAATGGAGCTACTTGTACGAACACTGAAGCTGGATATCGTTGCACCTGTAAGCCTGGATACACCGGTGTTGATTGTGAGACACAGTTAAGCGCCTGTTTACCGTCACCTTGCAAGAACAATGCTAGCTGCGTAGAGTCTTCCACTAACGGAGGGTTCAGATGCATTTGCCCCATTGGATTTTCTGGCTCTAGGTAAGTTGGAACTAGTTTTCTGAATGTTGGGAATTTTCTTTCCAGAAAAACTACCCTTGAAATGACAATACTAATGTGCGGTGAAACCAAAGAGAAGTTATATAAAGAGAAGACAGACAACGCGAATGATATTAGAGAGAGATAAGTGATGACTTCAATAACATGGCGTCCACAAACCAGCGGAGAGACGATCCTTTTTGGATGAATGCATTTTTTGTTCAACTTTACTTTTTTTTGTTTTAGCATTTATTTATGCTGGGGGTATTTATCATCCATTTGCAACCTACGAAATATATGTTTAATTCAATAAAGCATACACACTTTCGCGAGAGAAGCTGTTCTCAAAATCTATAAGTTATCACATAGCTACTTAACTTTGAGGATCGTACGCGGTATAAATACTAAACGACCTCGTTTAGTAATACAAGAAGTACACTCTATTTCATGAGTATCCATCACTGTAGAATGTCAGGTGATTGTCTAGTAATATCTCAAAATTCCCCATATCGGCACAGGACACATAATTCTGACGGATCCGTCAACGTGAGGTAGTTAGAGCCGTACTTTGTTTTGGTTTTTTTGTACGCTACAGATTGATTGTGTACTTGCTAACAGTTCGTTTACTTAGAAAAGTTCATTTGCTTACAAAAAAACAAAACGCTACAAACAGTTTTACTAGATTTACACCCGATTCATTATTGCCAACGTTGCAGACTAAAACAAAAATGTCACTTGCTGATCAGCTGTTCGCCTCAGTAGACGTCAAAGCGTGATGGATACTCGTGAAATGGGGTATGCGTCAGTTTGCAATTCTAACCTTATATTGCTCATTTGACCAATCGTTGGTCTGTTTGACATGATGTGACGATGTGTTTATTTATTTCGTATGACTTTCTGACGTAACCACCAAAAACCGTGAAAAGTGCTGAAATACATTCTGCTTAGTATTAATGTAGCACTTTGTAAATATTTTATGGTGGCTTGGCAACCCCGCCTCGGTAGCCAAGGACGGTCCGCACATAGTAATAGTTTAAGAGCCGACCGCAAAGTTTTGGTTACATCGCGTACTGATATGGAATGTTGAAAACTAGTCACATCTTACGTAGTATTTTGATGCTAAACAGCAAACTTGGCAAGTTGTCCCCTCGTGTAACGAACGCGACCCAGAGAAAACTGTTTATGATTAGAAGTGGTCAAAAATAATTATTGGAAACCCGAAAAGTGCGAAGAAATCTATTGCGCCACTAATCGAAATCTTGACATAACAATAAAAAACATCACTAATTTGTTCAAATTTAAGGGCATAAACAAACATTAATATTACATGTATCACGTTATTAGACATGTTGAAATAAACCGCTCTTGAGTTGAGGAAGAGAACACACAAAGATATCACAAATACTGCAAATTCTGTTGAAGTTCATGCACATGACTCTTACAGGAGGTTTTAAAGCTAAGTTGGTATTTGCAGTTGTGCAAAAAAGTATTTTTTTCTAGAACATGTCATTGTAACTAAAAATTGGAGTTGGGATAACAGGCCTGAAGAATTAACGATACCGTTTAAAAGTTTATACAAGAAGATGACTGAGTCGTGTTTTCTTCTCTACCTCAAGGAGACAACTTGGAATCTTTCCAACATTACTTGGTAGTCCTAGCCTCGCTAAGAATAAAATGAATCAATCTTGAAAACCAGATACTTAAGAAATTTCTTTTGAACATGATCGATTTGATTTATATATAACAATTATATCACCCATGTGCAGTCTAAATATATTCTTCATTATTGTACGTTGTACGGTATAAAATATTTAGGCAAATGTGTCGATCAGAGCAATCACAGAAGTTAGACAACATTCTAATATTCTTTCATCTTAACCATGGGGAGCTACATGCTCAACTCATATTCATGATTTCGATATTTTTCAAAAAATGATTTTAAAAACAATGTTGAACAAACCAAAATTGTATCTAACTGATGACTTATACAAAGATACACATGTATATGACTTAAACCAGCTTTATCTCTTACATGCTATAACCAACTATCACAAATTCATCAATAACGACAAAAAAATTAAACATAATCATCACACAAGTCCTAAAAGGAACAGTTGTACTTAGACCAAATAAATCTATCTCGCAACGATCATACCTTTATCTAGGTCCAAAATTATATATACATTTACCTGACGATATAAGGGATCTACGCTTTGGGAATAAGTTCAAAAAAAGTTAAAAGAATGGATTTTTCTTTGGCAAGACCAGACGTATACAAATTAATAGTAAATATGATCAAATAATTCGTTGATTAGCCATCTATGAGCGAGCTGCTAAACAAGGGCGATTGTTGGACAAATACCTAGCCATAGTTCAAAACCTCCCAAACCAGTGTAGTAGGTCAAACCTAAGATATGCCGCAGAGTATGATCTCTTGGTATAACTGCTGCTTTTGACAAACGTATTTCATATTCCTATACCTGTTTCAGATGTGAGAAGAATATCGACGATTGTCAAGGAAACCCTTGTCTTAATGGAGGAACTTGCGTAGATAGAGTGAACGAGTTCCGTTGTCACTGTGTACCGGGCTACGTTGGACCGTTGTGCCAGAATCGTGTGGACTACTGCATCACCAAACCGTGTGCCAATGGAGGCACCTGCACACAGCTCATCAACGACTATAGTTGCAAATGCGCGCCTGGTTTCGTGGGCAAAGACTGTAGTGTCGAAGTGAATGAGTGCGTGGTAAATCCTTGTCGCCATGGAGGTACTTGCGTGAACAGGATCCATGGATACGAGTGCTTGTGCCCAGCGGGTTTCTCGGGTCATGAATGCGAGGAGATGTCATCCAGTGCTGCACCAAGTGCCCGGGTTTCTTCTTCGGAGTCAAGCTTTACCGCGGAACATGTTGTGGTGATAGCTACTATTTCCACGTTCGTACCTTTGGTGGTTTTGGTAGCCGTTGGGGTGATAGTATGTTTGAAACAACGCAGGAAACGCGAAAAAGCTAGAGCCGACGAGGAAGCTAGACTGCAAAATGAACAAAATACCGCAAATAGTAGCTTTGTGAAAAGAGGTGCTGTGATGTCCACTGACCCACACATGATCAAAAACTCTTGGGGCAAGTGTACGAACAATGTCCTCGGGTCAACTTTAGCCACACCGGACGATTGTAGTGTGTCCAATATAAGCATATGCGACGGAGGTGGTCTCAGTGAAGACCATCTAGTACGTCCAGGACCTCATCAGGTGATAGATGGCCGAGCAGTGTATACGCTCCAGAGGAGTCGCTCCCAGAAACAGTTGAACACCGAGGCAACAAGTAGAGCAAGTGCTTTGCTCACTGCCAAACTTCACGAAGCTGATTATGAGACCGTCAAACGTCTGTCAGTCATGTCAAGTGCATCTTCAGCTATGTGCGGCCCTAGGTAAGTCGATGTTTTGCTCAGAGCAAGAGGACAGTTGAATGAAAAAAGTGAATGCTTTTACTCGTGGTAATCGGGAGTAAATAATAATAATAAACGACTCTTATTTATTGCGACGCTTAGCTACAGATTCTACCACTTAACCCTTGAAAAACTAACACCAGAATATCGAAAACAGTTTTAACAAAATGTTCTTCCAAAATTTTAATGAAAATTAAAAATTAAGTATATACAGAAAAACTATATAGGATTTATCTGATATGCAGAAATATAGATGATCTATATACTGAGAGTTAATTCAGATTTGAGCATTAAATATAATTTGTTTAATATCCCTTTTGAGATTATTAAAATCAAGATTTTTACTGCTCGATGGCAATGCATTATACACTGAGAACCAAAATTGGTTTTTCGTGTAAAAATTGATCGCATTATATTTATGAAATAGTCAAGTTTTGTAAAGAGGCATAGTTAAAGTGGCGTTGAATCGAATATTCCGTGAGTTTATATACTCACGTGATGTCAATCTCTTTTTTAAAAATGACGAAACCGAATATGATCATATTTTCTTAAATTGAAAATAAATCTACAACATGCATTTTGATTCCTTCGTAGACGTTTAGCTGAAATTGAATCTTGAAATGGATGGTATACTAAATCCCAATTTTTAGTTATATTTTTCACATTAGAAATAAATTTGAAATTTTCATCTATAAACTAACTCTCCTCATCTGAATAGCATGACCCTTCAAAGTTATGTTAATTTTAATAAGGGTGAAAAAATAAGTTTGGATTTACAGGGATTCAACCGGAGACTATGTTCTGTTGCATCATTTTCAATATTTAGGTTTGCTTCCGAAATTTCTATATTTTCATGATTGAAATTATGATATAATTGTGAGTCGTCTGCAAACAACTGAATACTACAAAATTTCACAACACTGTTTAAATCCGCTGTATATAAAATAAAGAGAAGTGGACCAAGCACTGATCTTTCAGGCACACCTGAAATCAGACGTTGTAGAAACTAAAAGCTGGCACCTTTATTACGCCAATTAAGATCGAAGAGCGCTTACTTCATTTATTCAACTGCTGTAATTCAACTATGAATGTCGTCATTTATTAACATATTCCAACAGAAGATACCCAACCTAGATGAAAGACTTGCATGCGCTAAAATAAGCATACGTACTGTGGCGCCTTCAACCACTTATGCTTACAGCTATACTCAGTGACAAAGGAAATTGAACACCCAGTAAAAATCATTTTAATGCAACATCTAAAACGTATCCTGGGGTTTCCCCATGTTCCTATGACCGAATCGAATCACATATGTTTAAAATTCCTCTTTATTGCATGACATTTCAGTTTCAACAGTGACCAACAAGTACAATTGACACTTGACCCAAAAAATTATATTGTCAAAAACACATTATAAGCGAAATCTAACGATACCGTGAATATTGTCACGTCAAAACTTGATCACGACTTCCTCTTACTCGTGTCTACCTGTAAAAAAATTCATTTAAATGAAATCATTTTTACTGGATGTTCTCTGTAACTGAGTATATACACCTGTCGACCACAGTCTTTAGATGCCACATTTTGGTGTGTTGCCACAGGTTATTGGATATGCTTTTTCGTCGTTGACGACTTCTTAGACGACGAAATCGAAGGAATAATTAGGGGTGGGTTTGAGGGGTCATATTTGAGAATAGAAGTATGTGTAAAAGGCACATGGAGCCTGTTTTCATTACTGCGATCATATTTGTGAATATGGCTGTAACGATGGAAATTGTAAGTGAACTTCCAAACACAGCATATGGTTGGGCATCTTGTTGGATTTCGCTCAAGCAAATGATTGCAGTAAATAATCTGATTCTAGTATTCTGGTTGTTGCAGCGATGCCTCGATACTAAAGAGGCCGTTGGAGTCCAAAGAGCCAAATAGCAATGATGTGTATGTGATAGAAGAACACTTTCATACCCCAGACGTGATTTCGTTTGCAACAGAAGTGTAATAGTTTGTAGAATATGACCGACTGACTGATATATTTGAGGGTGTGCGTGATACGCGACGGTCACATCGTTTGCAATAACTAGGGAGGCAGAGGGTACATTCTACAGTTTATTTATTATACATATTTCCCCATCCCCTAGAACCTACCCTACTTGCCAGCGGCGTGGACTGTCTCTGAATGAGTATTTAAATTTTTAAGAGGAGTGTTTCATATGGCTGCAAGGAAAGGGTTGGTTCCCTACAGAAACAGTATTATTTTCAGGAGGTAGTGCGAAATGAAAAACTTGTTCCTCATTACCTCTTTTTCTTTCTATTTTCACGTATCATAATTTTCGACAATAGAACGACCCCCAAAACATTCCTATAAAAATATGCATGTTTTACATTAAACTCTATTGTAATAATTTTCACATACATACATATGTATGGAACTATGCTATGAATTTTATTGCAAAATAATTAAATTTGCAAAGTGCAGCATTATTAGCATATTTAAAATATTCTTTCCATGTATGTATATTATCTCACAATGAGTGAAGGAACTTTTAATTTTCTGTTTTGCTTTTTTGTATGTCACAATATGTCATACATAAAATTCTGTTTGTTTTGCATTATACATTTCCAATTACGTTTTCTATAATAATTTATAGATATAAGCTATTTATATATACAGGCACAGGTATCAGAATATGATAAATGGCTATCCACAGATTTTTGAGATTGAAATACAAAATCATGGAACTTCTTGCAAAATGCAAAAAATGGCCCGACTGAGGTATCTAAAATAATCTCAAAGGTACACAGTTTTTACCCAAATGTGAAATTGATAGCCATATGTAACATAACCTCATCTTGGAGTTTGTGCCTCTATGTAAAATCCCAGTATAATTGAGAATCAATTTTTATACGGTATTCGTATACGCGAACTGTGACCAGATCCGTTGTCTGTCCTGGCTGTATTTTTATAGTGTACATATTTTTTTCTTTTTCTTTGTGAAGTGCTCAGATTGCCCCATAAGTCTTGCAACTTGGTTTTAAAAATGCATGGAATAACTATATGCTTTTATAGAATTAAAAGCCTAAAAAAGCATATACAAGTCTTTGTAAAATTCTTTCTTCATGTTATCAGTCAATACGACTTTGTATATTTGTCGTATTGGCTGATCACATACGTTTTTCACTCTTACATAGTGTATTATGGTAAAATTGAGAAAGTAGTATTCATCCTCAGCCTTGGTTTGATTTGGGTTACATTATTCCAACTTTTTTCGTTGGAAAGCCCATTTTCTAAACTAAATGAAGCTCAAATTTCCATGATACCTTCAGTTTGGACTTAAATCTTTCAAAACTTATGGAGAAATCTTGCGTATAAGGTTTAAACATTTACTTTCATTTCATGAAGAAATGTATATATGTATAAATACAACTACGTAACGTAACAGTTACTGGGAAGAATTCAGTCTTTGACGTCACTGTCATTTTTTCCAGTGACTGTATCATAACATTCATTACGTAACTTTCTCTTCTGATCCTAGCTCTACGAAAAAAAAAAAAACAAAAATTTATTTGGCTTTTATTTCTATAAATACTGTCTAATATATTTTTACTCTGTGTACTTTTTACTATTTATACATTTTTTCAACATCGTTCAATGTCTCGCCTTTTACCAACCACCATATTTATTGATTTTAGCCTCAGTTATGTAAATAATTTTTTACACATAAGCGTATACGTGATATACGACTAGTGTGATATTTTTTAAATAGTGAAATATCATTATTTGTGATTTTCTTTGAATTACAGTGATAATACATATAGATTTACTTTACCATATTTTTTTAATTATTTATTGTAGATGTAAGATTTTTTTATATATAATCGTACCTATCTCTTTTTTCGTTTCTTTCAAAAGTCTTTTCCAAAATCTTATTATGAAGTCTTACATTGGGCAACCTAAAAACCATAACATGTTGTGAGATATTTTTGTACGCAAACTTTTTTTACAACAAAATAGCTGTGGGATTTTTAGAGAAAGTTACCTGTTATATGCTTAAACTAGACATGAAGTGGATGTTTGAATAATGCACGTTTTCTTGTACTATATTGCGCGGTCTTTTCCTTTGATAAAGTTGCCAGCGGCGGGAAAGTCTGGTTAGAAACCAAAGACTTACACGTAGTTTAGTATCAGCTCTTGATTGTACTGGGGTTTTCGGTAGCTACACTATTGACGATTTTTATATCGTAATTTTGTGATGATTTAAAACGAACTAAGTCACTACTGTACTTAAAAAGGGTTTCTTGGTACGTAAGATTTAGGACGCCCTTGCCATCGGATTTATTTATTTATTTTTTGTTTTATTTTACAAGGCCAGTTTAAAATCTCACAGTGATGGCAATTTTGTAATCTCAGTATTGCAGAGTGAACGTTTTTGTTACCCCACTAGGGCTGGCTCAGAAACTACAAACATGTGGAACACGCAATTTCTTTTTGTGGCTACGTATTTCATTGAATTTTGCTCAGTTTTGCAGGTTTTGAAGACATCAGTAACACTACTGAATACTTCAATATTCAACAAAATTTGGAGTAAAATTTTTGGACATTTAGTTTCTGTCTAGAAATATAGCCATAAAAAGGAAATTCTAATATTGCATTTTACGTATTAGTGTTTTTGAGCCAAATTACGAAAAAGTTGTTACCCTGTATACCCCTCACTTACTATATTTAAACAATGTTCCTGTATTTATTATAATGTTCTAACAATCATTTCTACAGAATTATCGTTGTACTTTAGTTCTTTAGACATGATAGGCTGTTATAAATATTGGGCGGACAACTTAAAGACTTAAACTCGATAAAGACGTTTTGTAATATATTATGTATATTTGGTAGTATGTAACTATTAGAACTGTTCATGTTTCTTAATAAATACTTCTTAGAGAAGCGGCTGTATTGTTCCTCACGTGAATAATGTTATTAAAAAGTTATCTTAACAATGGTTTTTATTCTATATTCCTTCTCATCCAATCAGAAAACGTTCATCAAAAACTCCTAGTCATGTGGAGACGAATTTTGGGTAAAAAGGGGTCAAGTCAAAAATAAGGTTCCCAACGCTGTATCTTTGCTGCGCGTGATGCTGGGCGAAATCTGGGGATGCTCAGTACCGACCTGACAGCCATGCGCAATGGAGCCCTTCATCGCCGTCACCGACAGGTGCAAAAGTCGTGCGGTCATCCAATTTTTGCAGGCAAAAACGTTGCCACCCATATAAATTCTTCGCCACTTGAGTGAAGTATATGGGAAAACGTGTATAAATAACCACTCATGTCCTGACATGGTGAAGAGAGTGCTCTGACGGCCGCAAGTACATCCACGATGAACAACGAAGCAGGAGGCCGTCGATCTCCGACTGTTGAGCAAATCTTGCTCGAAGATCAACAAATCACGATCCGGTAACTGGCGGTTGAGATTCTTGAGGCGTCTGAAAAAGCTGAGACGGGCAATCCAAAATCGTCATCGGGGAAAACTCACCAAAGCGTTAAGCCTTACAGCCCTGACATAAGTGTTTCCGAAATTGAAGGAGCACCTAGGCGGTCAACTGTCAACTCGAGACGGATTAAGAATTGCAAGGAGCAGTTTAAACGGGCTCGCAGCAGACTTCGTTGAGACGGAAGTGCAAAAGATTTCACGTCTAAAAAATGCGTAGAAAAAATGGCGACTATGGAGAACAATAGCTTATAGATCGTTTCCAATGGTGAATTCGTTTATTCAAATAAAAAATTCCTTGCGCCTGAAAAAACTGTGGGAACCTTATTTTTGAAACAACCCTCGTAGCTACAAACATAACACAAAATATTCAGACGTTCAAGACAGCCAAACTATTAGTCCATACTCCATAGTCCCCACCCATTTGATCACACCAACGCTAGTTTCTTCCATGCCCTAAGTATCGACCATCTGGCAACGGTGCCGAATCACACCAGTTAACTACGTCATAAGCGCCAGCGACGATACTGCAACTCGAGATCGGGAACGCTGGCGATGCAGCAGACGTAGAGTCTGGCGCATGAAGGCTGCCATCGTTCCGATCGACCGTAAAATTTGCTGTCTTTTCGGTCTTCAGCGTCCGATACCGTGAAAAGGATAAATGGATCGTTATCGGCAGCTTTATTATGTAAAAACCTATTGTTGAATAAGTAGGCTAGCGTGCAAATATACACCTATAGTTCATTCCTCACCAGCTAAAAGTGAACGACAGCTAGTTCCAAGTTGACGTCGTGTAAGAAAACTTACATGTCAAAAAAAACGTCATAATCTCACTTTTCAAGTTACGTAACACTCCTGCCGGTACCTGTAGCCTGACACCTACCAGCCGTCGCTTGCCGTCTAGAAGTATCACCGCAGTCAAACTGACATCAGTTTCGAAATTTACGTACCCGATTTATCCATTAAACGAGTCTCCATCCAGATCAGATACGCCCAGGGATGTTTGAAAACTTTTAGATAAGAAACCCCAAAATATTATAGAACTTTGTAGAGCAATATTTCCATTTTCCCCGTTATAACAAACAAAAGAATTTTGCTCTGGAGTAATTTGGGTCGCTAAATTCGAATATGATCCTCAAGACATGATGAAGCGTTGACGGGCCACATTTGAGGTAGAAAATGGGACCTCTCGGGAGACCTAGCAGCAAGAAAACAAATTAACGCCCAGATCGCAGATACGCAGGCCATTTTGGATTTTTTTTGTAGAAGACATCAAAACATTACAGGACATCGTACGGCAAGACTTTCATTTTCATCTACCGTTTTTAAAATGGACATTGCCGCCTGCCCCCCTCTCCTGGCTGAGAGATCGCGGGACTTCCCACACCCCAGACTTGGGTCGAATACTGAAATCTGGTATTCGGTTACAATTACGAATCCTGAATACTGTATTTTAAATTGTATTCGAATACTCAAGACTCGATACAAAGAAAAAAGTATTCGAATATCACTGTTTTGAATACCTGGATTATTTAAAATATGAATACTTTTTTGATATCCCAACTAAAAAAAACATATGCGCTCTTTAAACTTGATTTTTATTCGTGTACCTAAGTTAGAAAGGTATATAAAAAATACATGACTATATTAAATAAAACTTAAAATAATATTTTGACAGACAGAGTCATAGTGAAATTAATTTTATAATAAAAAATATTATTTGATTTTTATTAGATTCGTATAAAAATCAATAGAATAAAACAATAAGAAAATATATGAATCTTGCACAATGTACCTATATAATTAGAAAATAAACTTAACTTTCTATATATCTACTTTATCTCTAGCAAGAAATTTAAGTCGGACCAAATTTTCTCATGGATCGTTTTTGTAATGTTCATGGAACAGTTTGCTAACATTTAGATGAAGTATCAAATCATATTTAATTCATAATTCAGGTTATCCTCTTCCTCCCACAACGTCAAGGCGGGTGTTCCCCAGGGATCGGTCTTGGCTCCGAAATTGTTTCTCTTACATATCAACGACCCTTCCTGTACAATCAACCACTCTACATGCAGTAACTCTAAGCGACAGGCCGCTCTCTGCCGGTGAGCTGAAAAAAAGAAGACTAGCGGCGTCTACCTCTCTGACGAGAGACCTGGAAGTTATCACTGCTTGAGGCGCAACAATCTTGTAAAGTTTAATGCTTCCAAAACACAGTACTGCACCTTGACAAACAAAAACCGTCCTAGCGCATCCGGTTTCGATGGATAGCCGAGTTCTGCCAAAGAGCCGTTTCGGCTGGTCAGTCCAGATCACCGAGGACTTGATCTGGCACGAACACATCTCGCCAATAGTAGCAGCTGTTGGGAAAAAGCTAGGCTATTTGTTTAGGGCTAAAAAGTACTTTTCTCGGCATGACCTCCTCGCTCTATACAAGGCCCAGATAAGACCTAGCCTCGAGTATTGCTCACACGTTTGGGGTGCTGCCGCCCCGACTACATTGTCCATGCTCGATGCTGTCCAGAGGAGGGCTGTCCGACTGATCGATAACTCTTCTTTAACAGACACTCCTTTTGCAGCGGCAGGCCGTCGCGTCGCTTCTAACGCTACACCAACGGGATTTGCTCCACAGAGCTCTATTCCATGATTCCGTCGCCCGATGTGCCTGTCAGACAGACCCGCCTGACTTCGTCTTTCCATACTAACCTTGTCGAATTTCGTACATCCAAAACCGGCCCATACGACCGCTCCTTTGTCCTGAGTGTGTAGATTTTTTCAAATTTGTCATTTATAAATAAAGAGGGGTCAAAAACGGAGGGTTCCGGACGTGCTTCCGGAAAACGGCCGGTTGTGTGGGAGAGAGTAGTTTATATTGATGCCAGAAATGTAAAAAACTTTTTGGTCTTCGGCGGTTTTGAGGAATAACAGACTTTTTTCAAGTTTGCTATGTATACACAAAGGGGGGTCGAAAGCGGGGGTTCCGAACTTGCTTTGGGAATACGGCTGGTAGGGTGTGACAGAGTATATTATATTGATGCCAGAAATGTAAATTTTTTTTTGATCTTCGGCTGTTTTAACGAATAATAGATTTTTTCAGATTTGTCATGTATAAATAAAGAGGGGTCAAAAACGGAGGGTTCCGGACTTGGTTTGGGGAAACGGCTGATATGGTGTGATTGACTAGATCATATTCATGCGAGAAGTGTCCAAAACATTTTGGTCTTGAGCGGTTTTGAAAAGCTATAGATGATTATATAGCTTCTAAAATATTAGGTTTTAAAGGGGGGTCAATTTGGGGTATCTGTGAACGAGATAGCACGGATTTGAACTTAGCGTAAGTAAAATATGCTTTTTCTAATCAATTTACGTGAAAACCGCATTTCTCCAGGTTTATTTTAATGTAATTTCAATTTTTTCGCGTTTCTCCTCACTTTGAGGAAGATTTTGGAGGAGGGAGATAAAACTCTTACAGTACAGATAGAAAGCCAGTAATACAATCGAACTACGTGAAAACCGCATCGATTTATGTTTATTTGGACCCAAATTACGTCAGTAGAAGTGGTAATGGCAAATTTTCGTCACTGCTGCTTTACAGTTTCGATCAGAACGTGATCGATCGGAACTTCCGCCGCATGATTGTGGAACAATCTACAAGATTAGGATTTTACCAGTTCTCGTAACCTTAGGCAGTTTAAAAATCGGAGTAACAAAATTTCTTTGGAATATCGATAGCAGCCGCGGTGCCCTGGCATTTAGGCTTCTGCCTGCGCGGCTGCTTCGATGTAAAAAATATAGCTATGTGTAAATCAATTTTGTGTCATAGGCGAGGGATGTAATAACACTAAGTAGAATTTTTTGCAAAAATGCGTGATTGCTGAGTATTGGGGGTGTTCGGATATATAATATCACACCCCTCTATATCTTTTGTTATAGCTACGTAAAGGTGAATATAACATTATATTTGTAAATATATGTACCTACTAGTATCCAATTTCCTAATTTTGAACACCCTAAGACTGAATGATATGCAAAAATTGCTTAAGTGCGACAAAAGTCGGTAACTTAAGCATAAAACAATGAGATTCGATATTTGTAAATTTTGGAGACTTGGCAGGATAAACACGTTTCTGCCACACATTACAGATCAGTGATTGCGAATAATCCTCCCACAAACAACATCAATATTAAACGATGTTTACTTCAATGTTCTTCAGAATTTTCCCATTATGACGTATTGATTGAATTCGCATTCAATCCGTGATAGCACGCTATTTGAATCAGTTCGATAATAAAATTTCTCTTGAGATAGAACTATGAAGCAACTAAAAAGTATACAGGCACAAGTAGTAAAATCACCGATAACTTCTTTCTACGTCGTCCCTTAAGCAAAAATGATGTTAAATTTGGAATCAGCGCAGGCAATTTGCCTAGAAACAGTTAACTTGAAGCACTTTTAAATTCTATTTGCTTTGAGTCG